TCTCAGGGTGGCAGTAACGAGTTTGAGGGTGTCCTTGCTGCTGATCTGATTACACAAGGAGCCAGAACACACTCACACGCACACACATACACACACTCACAATGGCACTTCTCTGCCTTTGACAAATGAGAGCTCTTGTTCCAAAAGCCCATATTTTTATGTTGAACCCTGAGAAGTTACAGTCACTAACTCGTGGTTCCATTTTAGCTCCAATTAAATCATTTAAATGACATAACCATATTTTAAAGACTAATTAGCGAAATAGCATTAATTTATCAACATACGAAACAGCATGCAACCATCATAATCAAGATACGTATTAATGCAGCATATTAATCATAATTAGTCTTCACTTTTCTGAAAGCTAAATTAACATCAGCTGCTTTTGTCACCCATCCAAGTCTTCACATGCAAACAACTACGGTAAAGTCAAGACAAATCAAAGGCACAGTGGAAGTTCACAAGCAGATTTTAGTTTCAAACACTGGTTGTTTATGCTTGTTTAAGGAAGATATCTACATGCATCAGGGTTTAAAACAGAAGCCGCACCTGCATGTATGGTAAATAAAATGGAAATAAACAATAAATTAAAGTGATAGTCATCATCTGGGTGCATTTTTATTGTGTGACTGAGCACTTAACGTAAAGGAATTCAGGACTATTGAAAAGACAGACTTTCACAAACATCAAGCAACATTTGTTAACTTACAGCATGGCTACACGACATGTGAGACTCTAAAATTACTATATGCATGCATGTTTCAGTGAGTTTTACTAGCTCTGAGACATGCATCAGGAAAAACAGGCACACACAGACAGAGCACTGTTGCCGGACAGCAGAGTCAGAGGTCAAATCCACAAGAGCAATATGACCAGATCGACAAAAGGAGGGGTCAAACTTCCTTTGAGGAACAAACCCCTGGATATTTGTCTGTAAGATTATAGTAAGGATGCATTACATTGATCAAAAGTGATAAAGACTTTTATCTGTTTCAAATAAATGCAGTTTTCTTTTTAAACTTTCTTTTTATCAAAGAATCCTGAAATCTCCGTATATTTATATTTGGCAGCAAAACATTTCAGTTCCAACAATGATAATAAGCAACGTTTCTTAAGTACCAAATGATCATATTATAATGATTTCTGAAGGATCATGTGACACTGAAGACTGGAGTAATGATGCTGAAAATTCAGCTTTGCCATCATAAAAAAATATTACATTTTAAAATATATTCAAAAAGAAAAACAATATTTTAAATTGTAATAATTTTTCACAATATTACGGTTTTAACTGTACTGTACTGTACACTTAGTCAAATAAATGTAGCTCTGGTGAGTCTAAGAAACGTCTTTACGAAAACATTTTTACTGACACCAACATTTTTGAATGGTACTGTATACAGTGGGTACGGAAAGTATTCAGACCCCCTTCAATTTTTCACTCTTTGTTATATTGCAGCCATTTGCTAAAATCATTTAAGTTAATTTTTTTTCCTCATTAATGTACACACAGCACCCCATATTGACAGAAAAACACAGAATCGTTGACATTTTTGCAGATTTATTAAAAAAGAAAAACTGAAATATCACATGGTCCTAAGTATTCAGACCCTTTGCTCA